TCAATTTTGGAAATCATTTTCTGAAGATTTCTTCCTTGTTATTCTATTAAGTTTGCACTTTTCAAATCATTGGTCATCATATTGAAAACCTTCTGGCTTACAAATAAGTACTCTCATACTTATTAGAATTTTATTTACTTTTGGTAATGAAATTAAATTAGTTCTCTTCACTTTCACATTATGGAATTTGTCATACAAATAGGAGAGATAACTTAATACATATTTTTATACGAAATATTCTCTAACTGAGAGTATACTTTCATCTCTGTGTAGTATTTCCAAGGAAAATGATTTGTCTTTGTTAAATATCAATTTGAATATGATTTTGTATATTACTAATTGGTTGAAAGGAATTTTCACAATATATTCTGCATGCTATAATTCCTTATGTTGCCACAGACCCTAATATGCACAATATATCAATAGATTTAATAGCAATGTGTTTGGTATTAAAAATTGTTCTCGATTTATAGAACAAAGATAAGAGATCTCCATTTGCCAGACATAAATTATTTACGATATTCCCATTTTAAATTGCAGTCTTTATAAATACCCAGATATTTTGTAATTCTCAATCTCTGAATAACATTGATAATTTATGCAATTGGTATTGCAGATCCTCGGGCTAAACCCTCCAGGAATACTGTCCATGTAACTACCTCAAGTGGAACACTGTTTTCAACACATTTATACAAACAGAACTGTTATAAAACCATTTAGTTACCAATTTTAATTTTAATAATGTTAATTCCACTAAAGTACTCCGTTTCACAATTAAACTAGGGTCATCTGCAAAAGATATAATTTCAACTTTGAGTAGTCTCAAATAAATCATTCATATATATTACTAGCGAAACCTGGCAGACATCATGCTCTTGATCATTCTCCTTTCTCTCCCTCTTTGTCTGACCATAGACTAAGGAGGTATATACTCTCCCTCTCCCTCCCTCTCTCTCTGCTGTCTGTCTGTCTGTCTGTCTCTCTCTCTCTCTCTCTCTCTCTCTCTCTCTCTCTACAAAAGAATGCTTCGATGAAGGTGAGGTGCATTGGCTTCGAAAATATTTAATTTTCCTTTTTAACCTTGTTAATTACCAACTTTACTTTTCTCAGTTGAAATGATTCAACAGCAGTCATATTTAATAGCAGACAACTATATTTCTTGTAGTTAATTATAATTAAGTATAGGAGTTAGAAAGTTAGTGAGAGAATATAAATGGGGTGCCTTTCTCACAGTAACATTCCAGCATATTTTGTTGTTGTTGGGTTCAATGTTTGGCAGCGGCGCAACTGTTTATTAGACAAAGAACCTCTATATCCTATAATGTATGCACTTGTATCATCTTTCATTTCATATAAGGTCAATATTAATGAAAAATTGGTAGTTCTTGAGCTACATTGAGATAAAATGGGATGAATCCAGTTTTCAAAATTTTCTTCATAAAAACAACATTCACATTGTTCTAGAGCCTAAATAGCAGGTTAGAATTTCAGTCATAAGAATGTAGGCAATTTTAACTCTTGAACTTTTTCTTTAACTCGCAATTTTAACGCTGCCTTTGCCTGACAGCGTCGCGCCAGACACAAGGGTGAAGGGCCACCGCTTACCAAATGTTTCAATGCAGTACTAAGCCCTATCATATGTGCCTCCCTTTAAAGCTTTAATGAGTCAACAGACTGAGCTGCTGGGGCAACACTGGATTGCCATAACCAGGTAATCAGGTGAGTCAGGGCAGCCACACAGATGGTGTGGTTACAGTATTTTCATCAAAATCTCAACATTGATTTTTTGCAGCAC